AGGCCCCGCCTGCCTGAGCCTTAAGTCGCAGCTCTGCCGGCTTCTGCGTGCCCGCCCTCGCGCTAGAGCTAGAGCTGCTTTGGCGGCTGGAGCATCCGCGCCGCTCGGTCGCTGCGGCACAGAGCAGCTCACGCGCCGCCTTGGCGCAGCCCTTAAGAGCGGGGCAGCCCGCAGCGTTGACGCGTGCGCGGGCAGGGGTCTGGGGCCCCGGCTGAGCCTGCGCGGGCCCAGCGCCGCTGCTCCCCGGCCTGCATGCAGGGGTCAGGGTAGCCTGTCCCCAATCCAGCTGTGCAGTGGAAAGGGACTTGGCCCAGGTCGACCTGGCCCTGCAGTGGGACAGGGAGAAGCGGCTGTGGCCCAGCCCTGATGATCCGGTCCTGTGGGTGGAGGGGTGTGGCCCAGCTCCAATCCTTGGGAATTTGGCAGCAGGGAGGGGTGATAGTACTAGCTGACGCTTTTCCCCTCCTGCCAAATTTCCCCACCTGTGGGGAGTCCCATGGGTTGGATGCCAAGCCTCCACAGGCTGCTTTTGACTCACAGGCTGGAGGCTGAGCATGCCTAATCTAACTTAAGAGGGAAGCTGCATGTTACACTTAGATCATTACTAATAGCACTTAAAATGCAAGCATCTGCATGTTAAAGCTTGTTAACTGGTGCTACGTCCTCTGAGCATGTCAAGGTTATGCTACCTTGAGCTAGGTAGCATGGCTACAAGTTTATCCTCACCTTATGTTAGGTTATTTTCTGTCTGCTTCACAAAGATAAACTGTGAAAGAAAATACAAAAAGGCAAGCAAGCCAAACAACCTCCACAGGATTGCAGATGTCCCCTCCCCACCCTTCACTGATTCTGCAGACAGCTGGAGGCTGATGCAAGAGAGGCCAGTAATGAATCAGCACAGTTAACATCTGTGCTGTCCCCTCAGGCTTTCAGCCCCTAACTGTTAACAGTTGTGAATGTGTGAGAATTTGTGTAAGCTGTAGCTTGAGCAGGGTGGACAGGAGGGTTTCTGGAGCTCCACTAGTGGTACCAGGGGTGCAGGGTGCAAACATCCAGTCTTCAGTCCTAGGTCTGAGATGGGGCCATAGGATGATTTTCAGAGAGCAGATGAGGGCAAGCTTCAGGAGAGCTTGCAGGGGTGTGTCCAGGTATTGGGGCTGGCAAATAATGAACTGTCTTTGGAGCAGTCAGGAGCTGAGGAGACAGTCCACATGGGACACATGAACTTGTCATTCCATGGGCCAAAAGGGCTAAGCAGAGCTTTCATCCAGTTTCCTGGGGCAGCATACTGGAACCTTCTCAGGGGAGACCTCATACAGCCTTGCTCTGACATGGAAAGGCCTCCCCTTTCTGGCTGCAGTGCCCCTGGAACTCACTGGGCCTGTCCAGGAAGCAAGGCTGTGGGGCAGAGCTGTTTTCTCTAGTCTTGGAAAAGCGTCCTTCAGAAATGTCTTCCAGTCCCAGACCCCGCTTCCTATGCCCAGACCTTCCTACTGTTATCCCAGCCATGCCACACTGAGCACAGTCCCAACCTTCCCTACTGTCTTTCAGCTGGTCTTCCCTTCTGTAAGGCCCCAGAGCCTCTGCTCCAGCATGAGTGGGAGCTCTGAGACAGTCATTCTCAGAGGCCGAGGGATGTGAGGTCAAGAATAGCTCTCCTCAACCTTGCAGTTCAAACAGGAAGAGGGAGGGGACTGAAGTGCCTTCAATCCCTCTGCAGTGTGGGAAGATGCAGCCTTGCCACTCAACCCTTGAGATCCTGTCCCTGTTCCTTTGCCCCCTAGTCCCCCCCATGATAACTGTGTGAGCTTGGTAATGCCTGGTGCCTCCCTCTGTTGAGTTCACAACATATCCTGTGCCCAAGCTGCAGAGCAGTTTGGTCAAAGGGCTCAGCACCCAGCGATGTTTCAATATTTGTAGTGTTTAATAATTCTCACCCACGTTTTTTCAGACAAACAAGCTGTCCTTTACATTGGTTGGACTTTACAAGCCCCGCCCTTCTTCCACCCCATCATCAGGCACTGTTAGAAGTAGTTTGCCAGGACTGCCCTCACAAAGCCCACCCTGAAAGCGGTGGTGCCCCAGAGGTTCAGTCTTGGGTTCAGTAGCAACTACTAGACCTCTAGTAACCAGGCCTTCAGGAAGCACTTGCTTGCATCCAAGTGCAACCCCAGGACCCTCTGCTGTGCTTTGTGGCCCCCAAAGGGGCACTCCATAGTTGTCTGGCAGCTGCTCAGCCAGTAGTTGGAGGGGGTTTTCCTGGCATCACCAGTGTCCAGTGGCGATGTGTAGGGGGTAGTCTGTGATTCCCACTGGCTGATGCCCCGCACCCTGCCGCCAGTGCTGGTAGTGTCTGTGGGAGCTCCCCTGCTTACTGCTGCCCCCACTGCCATGCTTCTGCCGCCACTATGCGCCCCCGAGCTGCTGGGGGCATGTGCCGTTGATGCCAGTGTTTGATGTAGGGCTTCATAAGCCACAGGAGGGGCAAGTAGGTTAGGTCCTTGAGTAGCAGGGAGGAATAGTCACTTTCTAGCTCTATCCTGGGAACACCATGGGGAAACACTTCCTCTGTCATCAGGGGCCCCAGGCTGGAGTTCCTGAAGCCCCTGACATTGTGATTTTGCCTGATCACCTAGTGGTAACAGATATGAGCTATCCTCACTGGTCCATGATGCCTTTCAGCAGGGAAGACATACCCCTTTTACTTGTACTCTGGGCTATAGTGCACTGGGCACAGAATGGGAATGTGCATTCTATCAATGGTCCCAATGCAGTTCAGAAAGCCCTTGTTTAGATCCAGCCACGATCTGTAGGTGAGAGAGGCAGAGGAACCATGGCATCTGCATCTTCTGGATGGCAGAGCACACCTTATGGACAGGTAATCCAGTCATGGACTTGCCTGTGCTGAAGTGGTTGGTGATAGACTGGAGGCTATTGCAGATGCCAGTTTCCAGATGGCAATTATCACTCACTTCTCTGTACTCATGAGTGCCCTCATGCTGATGGCTTGAGTTTCAAGCGACAGGGCCAGTTCACAACGGTGCTCGAGCAAGGCAGCTGCTCATTGCTCATTATCCCAGATCCTTGGGACCATCTGCTCCCACCAGCGAGCGCTTGTCCCCTGGGCCCAGAAGCAGCAGAACACATTCTGTAGGTGGTCCCAGAGGAGGCTGCCTTAATTGAGTCCTTTATTTCTTCCTTCTTGGACTTGGACTTAAAGAGTAAGACATGTAACTTGAGAAGGAACCATTTTAGTGCCAGTGTTACGGAGCCTTGAGTTGCCATCTTACGGCAGACATGCTCAAACAGGACAGGAGGTATGTCTGGGTAGGTGAATGCTCCCCACCATGAGCTGGAGAGCAAAGCCAATATTTTATGGTGCGTCTCCATAAGAGACTGTAGGGCTGGGTAGGCAACTTTTTTTTGTTGGAGTGCCAAAAAACCACGTCTACCTTGGAAGGTGCTGGAGTGCTGGCATGCCAGAAAAACAAAACAAGGGCAGGGGGTACATGGCAGGATGCACTGCATATTAGTATAGTTAATAATCAGAAATGTGTGTGCAACCCAGAGCAGCAGCACACAGAGGGGCTGCACAGGGAAGCTGCCTGTTGCTGCGCTGGTCACACTTCCCCTGTATGCACGGGGGCAGCGTAGGCAGCCGTGCAGGGTTGTACCCCTCATTCCTGCCCCTGCCTGCAGGGGAAGTGTGGCCAGGGCAGCGGGGAGCTCAGAGCGGCAGGCAGCTTTTGTGCACCTCCCTGCTGTGCTGTGCCATGCTGAGTTCCACACACTGCTCTGCAGAGGTGGTGGGGGAGGGCAGCATGGCAGGGAACATCACTGGTACCTGCTGCCTCCCCAGAGCCCAGGGCTGGGAGGCAGCTGGGGCTGGGGCCGGGAGGCAGCAGCTGTTTGTAGCCTTCCAGTTGCGGCTGGCCCAGGCTCTGGGGTAGCTGCTGCCAGCCATGGTGCCTGGGCTGCTTACAGCAGGGCTTGCAGCTTCCCAACTGCCTGCTGGGAGCAGCTCAGGCTCTGTGGCTCACAGCAGCTGCCTAGAGCCCAGGCTGGCAGTGATGTGCCAAGCGAAATGGCCTTGTGTGCCATGGTTGGCATGTGTGCCGGGGGTTGCTGACCCCTGCTGTAGGGCAAAGAGGGAACAGTCATTTTCTGCTCTTGGACATGTTATGGCATCTTGCTATCCTTCAGGTACTCTGTAAATAGTGTTGGACAACTCTACAAAGCACCATGAGGTCTATGGCTGGAATGTGCTATATGAGAGCACATAGCTGTGCTCATTATAACTGTACCCCTACCTTCCATAACCAGGGTGCAGTTTAAAATTCATGTGAACATACCTGATAAACCTGTGATGTAATGTTACACTCAAGTCACCTTCCAAATATTTCCACTGTGTTTAGAATGTCTGAGCACCCTTCCCCCCCACCAGCTTGTTCACACTTTCCCTCTGACATATCTGCAGTCAAAGTCAAAAGTTTTGCACAGCTCTGGGGAAGAACCAGGACACATGCAGCCAGGAGGTCTGACAGTTATTAGAATTTACCAAGCTTGCAATAGTTAAAAAGTACAACATTCAGAAATATAAAAAATGTTGCTTGGATCACCTCCGAGTGCTGTACAGGGACAAGGTTTGGACTAACATTGCAAAAGAGGCCACTTTCCCGCGGGGACTGTTTGCAAAACACACACAAAAATAGTCAAAATTATTTCATGTCATGTCAGGATAACCAAGTACAAACACACACATATGTATGTATATGTGTGTGTGTGTGTGTGTGTGTGTGTGTATGCCAATTTACACACACACACATACACACACAGGGTTTAATTCATTCTTTGCTGCATAAAATTGTCCAGGAGGTTTTGACTAAATCCAGTTGAACGTAGGATGAAATATAGAAATCTCTAGAAATATCATTTTTATCCTGGAGCTCTTCAGATCTGCAAAGAAAGTGTAACTTCCTCAGTACAGAAGTCTAACTTGGCAAAAGAAATGCCTATGTCCTGTATTACAGGGTTGTGGGTTCAAGTTCTGACCTAACTGAAATCACCAGCAGAATTCCCTTGGACTTCAACAGGGCCAAGATTTTACTTGCCAGTTTTTAAGGACAGTTTATGGAGATCTGAACCTTTTATTTTTTATTTTTAAATTATATTGATAATAAAAGAAATAAAAGGAAGATTATTCTTCTGAAGTAATGTTTTCCATAAGCACTTGTCCTTACTAGTAGAATATTGTGATCTGAGCACTAAAATTGAATCTTTGTCAAGCCATACAAAGCCAATGCTAACTTCCACATGTGGCGTCCTTTTTTCCTGAGCAGTCATGTGCAATACTGTACATAGATATTAGCGTTTTTTCTCCTTGGTCATAACTTCTAGTAGTAACATCTCTTGGATTCAACTAAAAATGTTATTGGCATACTGAATGTTCAGAACTTTAGCCTGTGACATGCAGCTCTTCACTCATGACACATTCTACTGAGGCTTGGATTTCTTCTTGGTCTAATGCAATCATGAAGTAAAGCTTAAGGGAAATGCTGTCCTCTATAAGCCTCTTCAGGAAACAGCTCTGCTCCTACTGGTCTAGTATTTCATGGATCAAAACTCAGGGAGGTCTGATTTTAGCAACTACTAATCAACCCAGGTGCTAGACTTAAGAAAGAATGTCTTGTGACCTTGGACTACATTCTAATTGGTCATAGCATTTTGCTGTAGGGGCAGACACCTGATCTACTGGCAAAGTGAGGGTGCTTTGTGTTGCTGGAAGCATACTTCTGCCCTTGCTGCTGTTGAAGCATTCCTAGAGATGGAGGCCTGACAGCAGAAGCAGCAGGTAGAGAAACAGCCAATAAAGCCCAGGCATTTTTATGATTTCTGTTTCCTGAGTTTTAGCCTGGTTGTTAATTATAGGCTTAATTCTGCAAATCCATGATGACAGCAGAGGCAGTGTGTAATTATAAAGAAAAGAACTGACAGTTGTGGAGAGACTCATCTGAACAAAGTACAAAACCAGCTCAGTAAAACAGGCAGGTAATGTTTCCTAGGGGGTAAGGACAGAGCTCATCAGTGGGGTGGGGTCTGGAGTTCTACTCACAGGACATGGATAAATAAAGGTGTTTGCTGAGACTCACTGCCAGGCTCAGCTCTTGGATGTCCCATCTTCGCTAGAAGAGCCAAATGCTGCAGCAAAGGGTCCCTGTGTGGAACTAAAGGTCTAATTCTGCTCCATGGGATGGGCTCCCAGGCAGTGTGGATAATCTCTGATGCTGTGCTGGCCTCTAATGCCAGCATGAAGCTAGGCAGAAACTATGCTGCACAAGATCCCAGCTCCCAAAGGGGTTTGCCTGGTCTCAGAAAGGAAAGGGGCACACTGGGCCAGGAACAACCTGGGTTCACTTCATATTTATTTTAGCCAGTTACTTGCCTTATACTCTTTCTCAGGATGATCAGGCAGGCAAGACTCCTCTGCCTGCACTTACCCTCAAGCACAGCATGCATGCTCTTGCCCCATTCCCACTGGCTGACAACACCATGCTGCACTGACTTCCCTGCTCATGGACAGCTTGGCTCTCTGGCTGGCCCTGTGGCTGTGATGAGAGGCTGGAGCTCAGAACTCTAGACTGGTATCCAATTGGTACTGGCTTTGATGGTGGAGACCATTCACCTGAGATATGAGTAATGCAAGCCCTTCCAGCACAGCACAGCCCCATTTGCATCGTTCCACACTGTCAAAACCCAGCCAGTGCTCAGGGCACACTGCTTTGCCACTTTTCCCAGACAGGCATGCCTTTGCAGAACAGAAAGCCCCCCACTGCATATGGCCTGACCTTTTTCTTCTGAGACAGGGTGATGCAAAGCCTAATTCTCCACACCTGCACCAGGATAAACCCAGGTGCAAACATATTGAAAGAGCAGAAATATGCCCATAATTTCAAAGGTATCCATCCATACACCCCACAGGCTCATCAGATCCAAAGTCTTTGCCATGGAACATACATTCTAGGAGAGCTCCTGGTTGGGACATGCTGGTTGGTTTGCTTCAGCAAAGTAAACCCCCAGCTTCACCTGGGAGGAAGGAGCAGAGTTCTGAGGGCAGCACCGTGTCTTTCAAAAGAGGGATCTATTTCCAAAAAAACATCCAGGAAGCACCAGTACCTTTCAATAACAGCAGGAGCCCACATCTATTGTGTCCAATAAATAAAGCAGAAGCAACGTACGTGGGCAGAGTGTGGTTGCAGGGGCTGATGTACAAGGAAGAGAACAAGTATCTTGCATGAAAAACTTTTCTGATCATGTCCAAGACAGCAAGGAAGGGGAACATGTATGTCATACGACTTGCTGTGCATGGGTAGGTTGACAGCATTGCCAAATGCAGTCACTTCCAAAGTGTCGTTTGGGAAACTACCATGGTAGACTACCAGAAGGCTGAAGTGGGGACGTGGCAAGGTCTCATTTGTCATGCTTTCCTGAACTGACTGGAGAAGGCTGCTTCCTGTCATCAAGCAATCCCTTGGGGTTTTCAGAACAGAACTGAATGCACCTTCCAGGATCCTGGAGGAAAGTACTCAGACCCTGCCTACCCCATGCCTGGCATCCTGAGAAATTACAGGAAGTGATCTACTTGGGCTTGATTGTAACAGGACCCTGGGGGAGTTGACACGTAGAGGTGGTCAGCTGCTGCATGGTAAGCTCAGCTAGTTTTTTCTTGTACACAAGCTGTTCCTGACTATCTGCAAATGTTTTTATTTTCCAAAATTCACCAGTTCATGAAAGATTCACTGATTTTTTCTGCAGTTGGTTTGGTGGCTGTTCTCTTTGACTCTTCACTAGCCAGGGTGTGTGCAGTGTGACTTAGCAGTAAAGTCATCCAGGTTATTTCTACTCTCCGACTGGGCTTTTGGAATGTTTAAAACCGAAGAATCTAAACCACGAACAACATGACTTCTTCACATGTGCAAATATTCAGACAAATAATCTTTCTTTTAAAGCTCATGGAGCCTTGCATATATCCCAGAGGCCCAAATGCTTAACCTGTGAATAACACAACCAAAAATAGCAACCAAAAACAGCAACTCCAACTCAGTCCTTTCCCTTGTGAAGATCCTGCAGCTTATTGTAGCATTCTCCAGTTTTGGTGCTTTGTGCCAAACCACCTGTAGGACGCAGTGCAACAAGACCATGTCCTTGTCAGCCAACCATGTCAGTGCAACAAGACTGCCACCAATCATGCTCTGCTGTAAGGGTCCCTCCTTGAGCACTGCATTTCTAAGTAAAAAGTGCTCACTGCAGTAATGCAAGTCACTGTGGAAGTGTTTCCCATTCATTTTTTATTTTTAATTATTCCTGCAGGAACTCTCAGGGAGATGGAACTGAATGTTCACTGTGTCATGACAGCAAGTGGGAGGAAGTCAGCCCATGGCTGTGGGCCCTCGGTAGCCTACATGATTGGGCCTTGATTCACTAATGAAAAGAGCTAATCTTGGTGTGGATAACATCTAAGCAGCTTTCATTTAAAAGCCACTTGCATTTGGCGCCAAATCATCAGAGTATGGAGGCTGCCTGCACAGTGGTAGGGAGATCATGGGGGCGGGGGGTGATTATTTTACAGCAAGGGTTGGATGAGGATTAGAGCAAAGCTCACTCACAAAGCTCCTCAACTCTGAGATCCAGGCTAAGAACTTGGGACTCCTGTTAGCAAAACCCATAACCACAGGGAGGCTGGAAGTCTGGCAGGCTTAAGGGATTGCAGTGTATATGCCAGTGGGGAGCACATGCTGACAGACTGTACCATAGTGGCCACCCTGGCGATCTTTGGGACCTACCATGCCCACCATGCCAGCTCTTGAGCAGCATGCAATAAAGCCAACCAAAGGAACATGCCTGGAACAGCCTGACAGCATTTAATGGAGCTGGGCAGGGAATGAAACCAGGGCTGCCTCAGTGATTGTCTCCGCGTTCAAGAGAAGTTGCTTCTCTTGGGCAACCTGTATAAAACTCAGCTGCAACTTGTGCCTTTTCATCAAACCAAATGCCACTTGTCTGACAAACATGAGCAGAACAGGATGCCCATGTGGTGCCCACAACACACATGAATTGGAAGGCTGTGGGCCTAGGTCATCCCAGGTGTAATTCCAAGGAATGGCATCCTGTACATTTATGAGGAGCAGATCCCCACAAAGGTAAAGTGCACTTAGTTACTAAGGTACAGACACCTTAGCAATCCTATATGTAAGCAGGTAGGGAAGAAGGGAGGCAGGTAGATTAGATGAGAGGAAGATAAGCATGTTTGCTCTTATGAAGGAACATAATACATGCCCAGTACTCCTGAGATATGCACAATATTAATTTCATTGGAATGGACTAGTTCCAGATGGTAAAGTCATTTCTTGAATCATGGAGCTAAATGAAACATTATTTGGAAAGAGCATATTGGGCCAGTCCCTCAAATGCTGGGGCTCAGACAGGAAGAGACAGGCTATGCTTTATCTAGTCCAGCCTCCTGGCCTTTCTCAGCAGTATTTTCGAAGGTCACAGCTCTCTCCAGAAGGCAATGGAGGTTCCTAGTGATGCCAAGTTCAGAGCCTCTTCACAATGCACTTCCATCTTAGGAAATACACAGACCCTGTGGAGGAGATGTGCAGATTTAGAAATGACGCTTACATGCCTCAGTTTAAAATGACCCTTGAGATTTTCACCTGATTTCTTCTGCTTCCACATTTCCTTTGAAGATAAACAGAGCTACACCTGCTTATCCCAGTGGCTCCAGTTCTGTGAAGAGCAGATTGTGTTTTCCCAGCAGCATGTGGATTCCTGCTGGGCTTAGCACAGGTGCTGAGGCCTGTGCATGTGGAGCTCAGGGCAGGACTGGGGGCTCAAAATGATTGTGATTGCTACTCTGAGTGTAAATACTCTAATGCTTTTTCAGATGTTACTACCTTTGGGTCTGAGAACAGAAATGGTTCTCTGAAATGCAGCACTGTCAGGGGCTTTCAGCTGATTACCTAGATTTTGGTATCAAGAGCTAAGATCACTGGTGAAAGGAGTCACGGACATATTAGTACCTTGCAGTTGAGTCAGTAAGGGTTGCTTCGAATGAACAATGGGAACCACCTTGAAGAATCTTGTTCTTCCAAAGCAACCTACACATTCTAACTGGCTCCTTCCAGTGAGAAATTCCATCTGTCCAACTGAACTCAACACCATGACCTTTACATGGAAAACTCAAATTACAAGGTCAAATGAAAGAGAAATAAGCATTATCACAATTTTGCATTATAAAAGCCATTTAAAGTACCACATGCCAAAGTGATGGAACAGTCTCAAGCTATTTTCATTGTGGATGATGAATTACAAGTGGGGCTGAAATGGAGTCTCCTTGTAATTCCCAAAAGAGCAGGGAACAATTCAGCCCTCCTCATCAGAACCTGGAAAAGGGTAGGAACAAACAGGAAGGCCAGCATCATCTGACGATGCCTCCAGTGGCAATGATCATCCATCCCCTCCACTTCACATCCATCTCTTTCCACTCCAAAATGTAATTGCTGTATCTCCACCAGAAATGCTGACACGAAGCTGTGTACATAGGAGGGGTGTGTGCTCTTTCATTAAAACATTTATCTTCTCCCCAGGGAGAAACAAAAAATGATTCGCAATTGCCAATAAAGAAATGAAAAGAAAGATAAAAATCCTAGCAGGACAGGATGCATCCATGCTGTTAACTAGTAATGGAGCAACCCCCATGAGCTGTAACTGGGTTAAGAGTTAGCATAAAACTACCATCCACCAGTGTATGCTCTTCCAACCTGCTCAAACGTGTCTTGGTCAAGAAGAATTAACTGTGGTTAGGGCTGGCTTTTGGGTCCACTTACATTATCCAACTCTGAGGCAAACTCTGTCATGACTCTCCGAGCCAAAGGGTTTGTGGTCTTGAGCAGTTCGGCTGCAGAGGTGCGAGTCCCAGGACTGGTCTTGTTGCCTTTCTTCTGTAGCAGGGCCTTAAAGTCTTCATTCCTGCTTGAAGTTTTCCCAATAACAACAGTTGCTGTGGGGGATTCGCTGGTTGGGGACCCTGATGTGTTCTTGACTGGTGAGTGAGAATTTGGTCTGCTGCCAAAGGAGTCACCTGGCTCCTTCCACCCAAGCAGCTTCCTCTTTGACCTAAACACAAAGGAAACTCTTGTTTGGGGTAGACAGGAAGGTACACATTATGTGTACTGTTTCCTAGAGGAGAAGGACCCCTCAGAGGTACCTTTAACAGAACCCCAGGGAATACTCTTATTTTATGGACCCTGCTTGTTGACTGGACACTGCCCAGTCACAGTGATTTACCTTCAAGCCAGGCATGTCTGTGATTGTGAGAGCAGTGACTTTGCTCTCACTCTGACCCTGAAATGATTCCCTTGTATAACAGCAAATTCCATGTGACCAGTCAGTGCTGAGGGATACAGAGGCCAGATTATTCACTGAACTAGTGAGGAGCATTTTCTCATTAAAATAACAGACATGAGACCAAATTCACTGATGGCATGAGTTCCCTAAAGTCAATAGAGTCCCATTAGGGATGAATTAGACCCAAAGCTGTACTCAGAAGTCTCAAGCTGGATAACAGTCCTGTGCTGCTTACTCTAGAGACTAATCTCTTCCAGGACTGAGTTAAGATAGCACAGGTAGTCCCATCCTCCTGTGGGTACCAACCAACCACTCAGCACCAGCTGTCTTAAGCCTCAGCTGGAAAGGTCACACTTAGGGAGGGAAGGGAGATTGGGTTCTGTGGCACATCCTGTTCTTGGCCTTGCCTGGGTCTGCCAACAAGGAGAACAGTCAATGCTAATACTGATTGGGGAGGGGGATGGGGACAAGTCACATACTGTGGACTGTTGTATTCCAGGAACTTCACTGAACACCACCCCCCTGCCCCCAGTTCATTTCCAAGAGCAACCAGTAGCTGGTAATGATCTGTAGTCCCCTGCATTTCAAAACAGGTAGGTGGTTCCCTAGAACTATCCATTCCATCCAGAATAGTCATCAATGGTTTTGTGATAAGGCACAACTGGGCTGAAACATACTTCATGGGTTGTAGCACCATGCAGTACTTGGCAAGTATCCCTAGGAAAGATGGACTACCACCCCTTAAAGGCCCAGCATGACAAAACCCCCCCCCACAAAGGCACAAAGCACTGAGGCTACTGTTGAAATCCCAGGGTTTGGAACACAAGCTTGGGGGCATTTTCTTTGGATTAAAAGTCACATAGGTGACCTACTTAAGGCAACTACAGGGACTGATGTCCCTGGACTCATAAAGATACCCTGATTCAGGAAAGAATATCTCCCAGGTTTTGGAGCCAACTCTACTTTGTGAAACATGGGCACCATGACCACAGGAGGGGATCAGACTCATCACCAAGGAGGCTTTCTGGAGAAGACTCAGCTATATGTGCCCCCAGCCTACTAGTGTGCTGGTGCTAGTGAAATGAATTAGACAGCCCTGTCTATTTGCTGCCTGAGCAGTCAGCCTGAGCAAGGTAGGCATCACTTTTCCTGCCAACATGCCCTCCCTGGAAAGGGGGAAGTTCAGGTCTTGGCTGTGCTGCCAACTGGCAAAGACGCCACTTACTAGCTACTGTGCTGGAGACTCCAAAATGCTAATGGTAATGACACCTTGGCAGAGACCTGGCTTTCCCATGCAGAAAACAAGCACGTACCTGTGGATCACAGTGAATAAATCCTCTGTTGTGCGGGATGTCACAAACACATCATCATCTTCCTCTACTATTGACTCTGCTGTTTTATCACTTACAAAACTCTTCTCTTCAGCACCAAACTCCATTGAATTCTCTAAAGAGAAAGAAGAAAACTGGGCATGAAATGAATGAGTCAGCCCTGGGCTTGTATAGGTTCAAGCTGAAGATAGCCACCACCCAAAAATATGTACAGCATATACCACACCATGGAGCTAGTGCCCACAGCCTGTTATTGAAGATCAGCTGGAGCAAAACATGGTCATTCAGAACAACAAGAATTAGCGTCAGCAGTACACATCTGCTGTATGGCACGAGGGAGCTCCTACTGAATGGGAGGTGACATCTAGCAAGGAAGAAGGGACTTTCTGCCCTTGCCCATTGCTCCAGTTGCCCCTGTAATAACATATGATGTTGAAGAATACAGTGGCAGGGACGTGCCAGAAGCCAGTGCCACTCTTAAGTAGGTCAGCCCTTGGATGGGCAACTCTCCCTGATTTCCAGGTCAGTTCTGTAGGACAGCCTTAGGTTATGAAAGAACTCAGGGTTCCCTTTGTAGGGGTGTCACCCTCCAGGTTCCAGTCCATCCACCTCTGGTAACTGCATAACGGTGCTGCTGAGTACTGCACATCATCACATCTCACTGCCTATAAGACTTGGGAAGAACTGAAGAGAAAAGCTAGGTAGATGTTCAGCTAGCAGGGGCAGAAGCAGCCAAACTGGTAACTCCAGACCTTCCTGGAACCTCCTGTGATTTGGACTGGTCAATCTCTACCTAGTGTTGAGATGCTGTTTGCTCAGGTTCTCCCTATCCCTTACAGTCTCTTCCAATCACCTTAATCCTGCACCTGCCCCTCTTATGCTTTTCTCCTTGCACCTGGCTCCCAAACGCTCTTTTGTTTTCCTTCCATGTATCTGATCCTTTCTTATGGAAACCCACCTCCCAAAAGGTGGTCCTTACTATGCCATTTGTTAAAAATCATAGAATCATACAATGTTAGGGTTGGAAGGGACCTCAGGAGGTCATCTAGTCCAACCTCCTGCTCAAAGCAGGACCATCCCCAATTAGATCATCCCAGCCAAAGCTTTGTCTAGCTGGGTTTTGAAAACCTCCAAGGATGGAGCTTCCACCACCTCGCTGTGTAACCTGTTACAGTGTTTTACTACCCTCCTAGTAAGAAAATTCTTCCTAATATTTCACCTAAACTTCCCTCGCTGCAACTTGAGACCATTGCTCCTTGTTCTGTCATCCGCCACCACTGAGAACAGCCCAACTCCATCCTCCTTCAAATCCCGTTCAACTAGTTGAAGGCTGTTATTAAGTCTCCTCTCAGTCTTCTCTTCTCTAGACTAAATAAGCCCAATTCCCTCAGTCTTTCCTTATAAGTAATGTCCCCTAGCCCCCTGACCATTTTTGTCGCCCTCCACTGTACTCTATCCAATTTGTCCACCTCCTTTCTGTAGTGGGGGACTCAAAACTGAACACGGTATTCCAGACGTGATCTCACCAGTGCTGAATAGAAGGGAATAATTACTTCCCTTGATCTACTGGCAACACACCTACCAATCCAGCCCAGTATGCCATTCGCCTTCTTGGCAATAAGGGCACATGACTGGCTCATATTCAGCTTATTGTCCACTGTAACCCCCAAGATCTTTTCTGCAGAGCTGCTGCTTAGCCCCCAGCCTGTACTGGTGCGTGGGATTGTTCTGTCCTAAGTGCAGAACTTTGCACTTGACCTTGTTGAACTTCAAAAGATTCATTTTGGCCCAACCCTCCAATTCATCTAGATACTTCTGAATCCTAGTCCTACCCTTCAGCATATCTACTACTCCCCCCATATCTACTACCCTCCCTCCAGCAAATCAAGACAACCTGGGACAGTGCTACTGTGGAGTGATGGGGGGGAAGGCAGCAGGGCCACTGTCACACTGACCTGAAGGACTCTCCCCAGACACATCAACAACTGGAGAGTTCACTGTCTTCTCCTGTGCTGCGGGTGGCAGCAGGTCACTCATGGTTGGGTCACAGCAGCTGTTGTCTTCATCCAGCGTGATGATAGGGCTAGGCGTCAACCTGTGTTCTCCCTGACTGGGCCCCTGTGGGGACAAGGGAGTGATGAGTGGCAGGTAGAGCACACTGGGCTTCTTTGGAACCGGGGGAGGGATCTTGGCTTTCCTCTTCTCCCCATCAGGACCACTGGGGACATTGCTCCTCTCTGGTGCCAGTTGCAGCTCGTCTTCCAGGCTGCTCTGAGACAGTCTCTGTGTTCCTGAGAAAAACATCCCCTGAGAGCCCTGAGGGGACGGTAGTGCAGCTGCCAGGGGCAAAGGGGGCTCCCCAGGGCTCCTATCATCAGAAATCTTCGGCTTGGGTTTCCGGATGGCTACGTACATGTCTTGTGACAGTGCCTTCTCTCTGGCAGTGGCACCTGGTGGAGTCAGAGGGGAGGTTGGGGATGCTAGGGGGGACTCCTCCTGTAAAGGTGGTTGCTTGTGAAGGATGTTTGGGGGTCTCCTGGCTAATGGTGGCTTCTCTGGTACCGGGGGCTTCACTTTCCTCTCAGGAGGGGAGAAGACATCTTCTCTCTGTTCCTCAGCATGGTCTGGGCTATCATTATTGTCCTCTGGTTCTGACTTGCTGACAGAGCGCAAACGAACTGACCTCAGGTCTGACTGTGTGACCACAGGCATGATGGGCTGGATGGTGCTTGTCTTCTGGCTAAGCTTCGTTCCAAATGTGGAGTCAGAATGATGCCTGCTCACTTTGGTCTTACCCTTAAGAGAGATCTTTAGCCCTGAAAGGTCCAGGTGTGTTGGTGGATTAATTGGCAAGTCAAAGGATAGTCTAGACTTAGGGCTCCTCTCCATAGGCGATACCGGGGGCAGTGATGACTTTCTTTCAGGGACCAGTGGCCTCACCCTGCTGGTCTGGTGTGGAGAGTGTCCGAGAATGGCTGACGTGGGGACGGTTGGTGTTGGGGTTTCTGACTGGCTGGAGTAGCCGCTGGAGGGGGACATCAGCCCAGTGGGTCTCCCTGGTGAGGAGGTTTTCATGTCCACCTCAGTGGAGAGCTGGGAAGGTGTGGTGGCTCTGGAAATGGAGGGGGAGATAAGGGACTCAGAGCTGCCCTGCACCTTAACACATTCGATCACAGTGGTACCTGTGGCAGTACTGGAACTGGACAGAGACCGATAAGGATCACTGGACTTCCAGTCCATGAGATACCACTGATGAGAAAAATGCATATTGTCCTGGTCCCTTGTGGGAGGCACTGCTGTGTTACCCTGGGCATCTGTGTGCACAAAGTTATGTCCCTGGTGATCTAATGGGATGCAAAGGCTCTTGGGTCTCTGGTCCTTTGGCAACACTGAACCAGATTCTGCTTTGATGACCTGACCATTTTTAATTAAAGAGACACTGCGTGTAGGTGGGGAGGGCTTTTTCTTAGCCTTTTTGAGAGAGATGCTTTTGGAGCGTCGCCTCTGCTGGTCATCCTGCTCCAAACCTAAGGAGATATTATCTGTACTTGTACTGCCTTCAGAGCTGGCACTGGGGTAGCTCAGTGCGTAATTGGCGCTGCCTCGACGGTTCTCAGTGTACATGATATCCACAGAACAAAGAGAACCTGAATCTGTAGGCACGGACAATGACCGCTCACGGAACCTACAGGCACTTCTGTCCATTTCCACCTGGGAGGGCTCTGCATCTTCTGCACTGCTAGGCAAGAAGTTCACCTTGGCTTCTTTCCCCTCTGGCTTCCGGCTGCCTACAGCATTCATGGATGACTCAGGAGCACTGCAGAATGAGCTGGACCCGTTGCTTCCTATGGGGTTGTCTTTACCAATGAAGAAGGAGGTTGTGCTGTCACTGGTCACAGGTGAGCCTATGTCTGGAGACACCTTGGAACTGCATGGTGAAGAACACATGTTTTCATTGGCTTGTTTGCTCTGGCTTGTGACTGGACTTGATGGGCTCATATAGTTGAAGGAACTTGCATTCCAAGAGTGGGAGAAAGTAGAGTCCTTTGGTCTGTTGCAAGAAGGACTGGTGTAGGTTGTGCCTATGCTCTCCATCTTTGTAGGGGCCTGGCAGCAATGTGCTTGCAGGGTCTCCCCTAGATCACTGAATGTCTTTCTCAGTGGAGCTGGCAGAGGCCGCGGGGTGCCAGCGTCATGTGTTGAGTATCTCCCATTACCAACCTCAGGAACAAAGCTGCATGATGCAGACTCCACTATGGTTGCATGTGGACTGAATGTTGGGCCATTGCTATTGCCTGGAGGAACAGACACAAACACAAGTGAATCCTTGTGGGTGTGCAGGGCCAGGCACCAACACAAATATAACATGGCAGAGTCTCAGCCTAGGAACTATAAGAGGGATCTCTTTGTAGCCACAGCACCATTTAATAGCACCTCACACCTGATTGTATTCTTAAGCGCTGGCAAATCCCCTGGTTGGGAACTATCTCAGGATCCTGTTCACCCAGGAGCCATACCTAAAACTTTGGCTATACTCTGTTCCTTCATCTCTAACTGACCACAACAGGATGCTAATGCACTGCTGAGATTCCTGACCTCTGACACACGTAGGTGAGGAATCAGAGCCCTCCCTGGATGTGGGGGGACCCTCTCAACAACCACTTCCTCCTGCTGGTGCATGGGATCTCAGCCATCTATGTGACACCATCTCTGCCCCCAGGCCCAGAACTAAGGGTTCATCATGAAAGGGACAATGGGGCAAGCTGGGGGCAATAGGTAAGCTTGGTTCAGGTCAGATACATACTATCACTGAATTTTGGCTTCATAGGACATGTGCTGGGGACGTGCTTATGGCACCATATGCTAGTCCTCTCTCTTATGAGGACGGAGGAAACCTTGGCTGGGGTAGTGCACTTCCACAGAGGACCACTGTCATGTGAAAGCACAAGCTATATGTGTGGATACCTCTGGCCACTGAAACCCATGACTACTGGGGTACACTGAACATGATGGTGCCCTTTGCAACAGGAGAGCGTGGAGCATTCCCTGTAGAGGTCTCTTCCCCTGGGATTTTCCTGGCTGTGGAAGAGTGCTCCTGGCCCATGGGTTGGAATTCTCTGTGCATAGCGGTGTTACTCCCAGCACAACCAAGTTACCTGTGTGGGTCCACTTGAGTGTCCAGTTAAGAATGGCACACGGTCACTCACCACAATGACAACCATAACCAATTCATCCAGACTCCCTATGCTAGACCCAGTGATACTGGGTGCTACATCAGTGGGAGATAGCTCTGACCAAAGTGCACTAAATCAGGGCAGGGGCCTTTTCTGCAGAACCAACTCAGAGCCAGAGATTATAAGACTAATGAAGGGCATCACCTCTCTGGGCTGGATCATAGTTTCTGGGAAGTACTGCACTCTAACAGCTGCCTTTACAAGGTGATAAACTAGGTACTTTGCTGTGGAGCTAAGCTGGACTGTGGCCAGTTACAGCCATGCTAGACCTCATGCAGAGAGTTTTCAATGCCAAGTACCAACAGTGACTTCACCATCTTTTCAGGTCAGGTTACTCAGTTCTAATACTTACAGTGATGGAGTTCAGGCTTTCTCTATTCAACTTCTTTATAGAGATTGATCATGTGGGGCAGGGGCCTCCTGTTCTCTGCCATCTGGGCCAGGTCTACAACGTGGAGACTGTGTCCAGGGTCACATGATGACATGGGCCAGGTTCAGAGTTTGGTTTGGATTAGATTGGGTTGAAGTCTGCCAAGCTATTCTCACTGGATTCTGACCAAATCCACACTGCTTCTGGGGAACAGGCCCTGTCTGGATTTGGAACCAGAACATCAGGGGAGAATTGAAACAGCCTCTACCACTGCTCCAGAATATGGAAAGTTTGGGACTGCAGGTATCAGCCTCAAACTGGGCGCTATCTCCCAGGCCATGTGAATAAGCCAGCTTTATGCTCCAGCCCCTATTCCTCTCTCACAAGCTATGCATGCCAGAAGGGGTGGGGGACAGGGAGCAGGGACGGGGTTCCAGACAGATCCATAATCAAAGCTGTACATTTCCACTTGGCAAGGCCCTTCCTGGGCAGTGTCCTCCCTGGTAACCACATAGCCATGCACAGATGGGACACTGTTAGCTCGTTGTTTTCTTAGTGGGGGTCAGGGTGGGGTATCCAGCACATGGTGATCCTGGCTACACCATCCCTGACTTTCACTTTGGTCTAGGAGAGACTAACATGCCATGTCACCTGTGAGTGAGCCTAAGGGGTTCACAAGAGAGTGGCAAGAGATCTTTTCTGACTGTCAGGGGCAGACCAGGCTGTCCCACTGTCTGAGCTCATCACTTGACATTTCAGGAGGACAGTACTGAAGGTCTCTCTTTATTTGAAGCTCAAATAAATATGAGATAGGGAGCTCATTTTCCTTCCAGAGGAATACTCTTACAGCTGAGGCACACAAGCCAGACCCCATTCCCAGCCTGTCCAGTAGACAATATATCATGTGGCACAGAAGAGCCAGAATTGGAGTAAAGTGATTCTGTAGGGAAACTGATGGACACAGAGGTTCCCGGGGCTCTCCAGCTCACAGCCAGTGCCACTTCATGTCACCACTGAGGGTGTTCTTCCATCTTGGTCTGGAGTAGAAAGGGCTGAGCCTCAGTAAGCACATTTCAGAACCAGACTCTGGGATGCATGGTGACTTTTGGGAGGGGGGGTAACCTGTGTTCCCAGAGAACTATTGCTGTCATCTTACCCTCCTTTTCTGTTACAAGTAACAGCATGAATAAGCTGCAAATTGTAGACTTGTCGCTTGTCAAATGGCATTGTTTAACAGATTAGCTGTCAAAAGGCTGGGCTGTAGAACAAAAGCACGTGCATCCTGGAAACGGGGCCTCTTGCACTCACAGACAATTGCTCTAACAATCCATGTGGCTTCTGTCTGCAGAAAATGAGTTACCTAGAACAGGCCAGTGTGGGGCTCCTTACTGAGCCCCATGTTCTGACTGGGTGAGACCCTGAGATGAGTTGTGCATCCACAACTTGTTGTGGTATCAGCAGCAGTGGCAGGTGCTTAGCATGTCCGAAAAGCATCGGGGACCCAAATTTGAGGCACTCAGAATTATGCTAAGTAATGAAAGACAGCAAATCCTGGCACCCCCTCCCATTCTTTATCTACCTGCCTATCTTGCTCCTTAAGTTAGTGAGAGCCAAGTCAGGATGTCAGGATTTGACTTCTGGAACCCTTCTGGGCAGGGTTGGCTGGTGCTAATGAAGAATATTTCCCTAAGAAGAGGGGGTTAGGATGAGTACCATCAGAGATGGTAAAGGACTGGCAGGTCTCAGAGCCTGTCCTACTGCAGACAGGCAGCTGCCATAGGAAAGTCCTAGCTAAGCCTGAAGCTGGGTGCTGCTATGAATAATCTCAGTTTACAGCATCTGGGCCTTGCCTCTGACAATGGTAAAACTCTACTGCCAGCGAGGGTGGCTCTGGCAGGCTCTGGATGTGTGTCCAGCCAGTGCCTGGGCACTGTCTAGTCTGGGGCCAGGGGGGCAAGGAAAGGAACTGTGCAGTCATTGCTGTCACCTTGGTCTCGCAGCGAAAGGTTAGGGAATCCAATAATGGTCCGTCTGCGCCGCAGGGTGGACTTGGGGTTCATCGCAGTCTCTGTGTTAAACAAGGAGTGACGTGCACTCGCGTGCCTAGCAAAGTGCTCTCCTGTAGCCAAAACAAACACACTGTACATGGCAGCACGGGACAGGAGGGGAGGGTGGGCAGCAGGACTGCATGGATGACAAGCGTCAGTGCTTCCACCCCCTATTCCCACCACCTGCAGGCCCACCCTCCTGATCAAAGGCATAGCTGGGCTGCTCTGCACTCAAGTAACAGGGGTGGTAGTTGCAGTGGGCCTGCCAGTGGCAGTCAGGCCAGCAGTGCAGAGTTGCTCTTTCTGTGCCTCCCTCAAGTAAGCACCTGGGGCTGGTGCCTCAGTCACCTCCCTGTAGTTACACGGCTGCCCTTGATCTAGGCCACAGGGCTCTGCCATGCAAGAGTTGCTCAAAACCCTTGGACTATGTGATTTTTAGTTTAATGCCCCACTCCACTGATTTAGGCAAAGCCATGCTGCCATGCTGGGGTGAAATCAGTGCCCTGAGCTGATAACACAAGCTCCTTCTTTTCTCCACAGCTAAAGCCTCAGTTTTCCATCATCCCATGTGAGCTCAAATAGTTGTGCTTAAGTGCACAGGGCCTTCAGTACAGGCTGTGTAGGGCCAGCAATGGGGCTGAGTGTTGGATGTCACAACAAACAATGAAGTGTGTGCACCAGGGACAGACTGGTTGCAGAGGCAGTAGCATGTAACAAGGGGCCTGGTTTTAAGAAGCTCCCAGACTGTAGTGCAAACCCACAGAATGACCTGTGTGCTGAGATGTGACTATCCTTATATGTGTGTGTGCATATGTGTGTAAATATGGTAGCATGTGGGTCAAGGATACCAATTGTGGGCATGAGCTTAGGACAACACCACACACCTGAGTAGCAATGCTGCAGGGAAGTAATTCATGTCCCCACATACCCACTGTGTGCAGGCTATGGAATTTCATGAAGTTACTTTAAAAATATGGTAGAAAATCTGAAAATGTCTCGGGCTTATTTTTCAAGTTGGGCCTTTAGCCTTCTGACTCTGAGTATACAGATGGGAGTATGAAGACCTCCACCAAGGATCTAAAAAGTCTTCTCCGGAAAGAATGAAGCTAATTTCTCACAGTCAGTCAGGGCTAGAAACAACATATCAGCCACTACACCTGCTACAGACTGAGGTCTGTGTTTTGTTGGTAGCAGGGAGGGAGAAATTCCAATTCCAAGGGCAGAGGGGAAACGTTTCTCTGGAATATTAATTTTTTAAAAATCAGCTGTTTGAAGCAATCCAGGGGGTTGGAATGTTTGTCCTACAGAGAAGGGTTAAAAGGTACATGAGATGGTCATACGTGTAATGTAACCCACCGCTGCTGTGGGTGTGTGTGTGAGACAGATAGGCAGACAGACAGACAGACATGGAGAGACAGTATGAGCCACTGTCTGACAAAATACAAAGCCATGTGATAAACATTTATTACCTGTCCTACTTCCTGCCCTGTCTCAGGTTGGACTCTAGCATTCAAACCCTTGCAGCAGATCAACTGCTGATGTTTCCTAGGCTGCCTATTTCTCCTTCCACCTCACAATTCCAGGGTCCCAAGTTTGCACAGGCAGGGCTCAGCCCTGGACCAGGAACAGCCTTCAGGTCTGGTAGTACTGGAATGGGGTAGCTGTGATGATCCAGGAAATATTTGAGAAGCAAAGATTTTTGTGGGCAGTATCATTTATTAGACCAAATGAATAGTTGGGATAGACTTGGACTAAATTTATCTCAACCATGCAATTGTTCCAATAAAAGATAGCACCACAACAATCCTTGCTTTTCATAACCTCAGGTTTGCTATTTCACAGCCCAGCAATGTCATAAATAAGAGACACCCTGAAATGCCTTCATTCCCATTGGAATACAGAATTTGCTTCAGGTCCTGGAAGGCAGAGAGAGATTCGACTCATAAATGGGGACAAATTAGAGGAAGCTCTACAGGCTGCTGGTAGAGGGGTGCTGATTCCTACACAACTCTGCCCAGCTGTATTAGTGGCCAGAGGTACCTGGCTTCCACCAGTAGGCTGGCAGGTTGCTACAGGGCACTGGCACATGGCAAGGGATATGCATATGTGTGATCCCGGGGAATGTGGAAGTGCTGACAGGAAGGCAATGCTCTCTGCATCAGTGGGAGTCAGTCTTAGCATCTTTCCATGACCAGCAGGTGGCCACTCACCCCCTCCATCATCTCTTGTGGTGAGAGTCACTGAGAGTGTGAGGCAGTGCTGGTGAGGTAGGAGTCCTGCCTGCTTCAAGTGGCACCTGCCATGAAGATAGGCCAATCAAGCTCACCCATGGGGAGAAGTGAGCGAGGCAAGGGAACTCATACTGTTCTATGAGCCATACCTTCTGGCTGGTGACAGATACTTTTTCAAGGAAGGGAGGGTGATTTTGACATTCATTCTTCATCAGCTTTATTAGGAAGTCCCTTATCAGCAGGACCAGAACAGCCAGAGGGCAGGCTTTGGCTGCAAAAGGGTTAATGATCCCCATGACCTTTGTCTCGTGAGAAAGTAGGGTTTCTTTTTCCTGGCATGCAGTCTGAATTCCCCTCCCTGCCATTTAAGTCAGCAGCAGTAGGTCAGGGGAGCACTACGACAAGCAAGATGAGGAATGAGTAGATAGTAGTGAGACCCAGCCCCACACAGATAGAGCAAAGGTGGGTGAATGACTCCCAGCCTTGGGAACATGGAGATGATGGACTGGATGAGACTTGCCCACGGAGACACAAAGTATCACAAGTCACTGAGACGACTGCAGGTTGTGTATGGGCGGTTGGGCTTGGCAGCACCATGAGGGTACAGGGACAAGAACGACAAGGGCTCAGCGAGAGCTTTCCTAACGAGAGGATCCAGCCACAGGGCTTGGAGTGGCCTGACATCAGAGGCTGAGGTTTTGGCAACAGTAAACCCCACAGGAGAGCACTAACATGGCACTGGAGTGGGTGGGGGAGGGAGTGGTGTAAATGGGGAATGCAGAGTCATGGCTGAATGGCCCAGAGAGGCTGGGTCTTTCTGAGCCTCTGTACAGTCCATATACATTTCAAGTCCTAAGCTCCAGCAGGTGCTTAAGAGGAGCAGGCACTGCTGCTGCAGGACAGAGGCCACTTCACCCTGTGCACTGGTTTCTGCACCACTCCCCAACCACAATGGACCACATGCTGGAGAAGTGTCCTCTGCTCATTTACCTGGCACTGAACAAGGCCTCCTAGTTTCTCAAGACATGAGCCAGAGTAGCCTGAGAGGCCCTTTCTCAACTAGGGTGCTTGTACATGTGACAGGGGTTTAGTTCTTGGGGTTGCATTCTCCCCTAAATTGAAACAGCGAGTTTTTAACTGAAGCCCACCATTTCAATTTAGGGGTTCTAGTTTTCCATGACTGTTAAGGCGAGGGGCCTGATCCTTTTTTTTTCTGGCAGAGCCTGCTCACAGCTTGGGGGCAAGCTGCCAGCAGGCCGAGCAGCCCCTGACCTGCAGGGGGTCCCAGTCCTTCCCTCTGTGGCAGCGGTATCCACCAGGGCTGCCTGGGAGGGCTGCTAGTGGGCTGGGTGCTCCCCAGCTTGGAGGCAGCACCTGGCCTGATCCAACTCTTTCCTGACCCTGAGCTGGGGCAGCACCTGGATTACTAACATCCTGTCCAGACGGGCTCTGCCGTGGAGGGAAGGACCAGGACCCCCTGCGGCCCTGGGGCTGCCTGGCCTGCTGGCAGCTTGCCCCCCAGCTGGAGGAGAGGTGAGCAGGCTCTGCCGGAAAAAAAAAGAACGGAGCCCCTTGCTGCTTCTACCATTAGCAGGTGCCTGTTGAAGGCAGAAGCAATGAGAGGCTCTTTTTTCCTGTGGAGCCTGCCTGCCTCTCCCGCAACTGGGGTGTGAGCTGATTAATAGCTGCAACGTGTCATTGCAAACTAAACTACTTTGGGAGGTAGTTTAGTTTGCAACAATGCAAACCCATTTAAAACCCGCAAAACTCTTTCACATGTACAGTGTGATACCCTTAAGCCACACAAAGTGACATTTTCATTATGTGTATATGGTAATGGGGTCATGTGTACAAGCAACCCTAGAACTGGGGAAGGAATGCCACTGTTTGGCAGGGAGATGTGGTGGAGTGTGGAGTTGGGAGTTTTGGGGTCAATGGGGGAGTGAATATCCTGCAGGACCTAAGCAGGTTGGTGCTGTCAAAGTCCCCCGGTGAGAAGAGCTGCAGCCCTTCCTGCCGATCACATGAGCCTTGAAGCATGGACAGATGGACAGGTTGGACCAAGCACTACAAGAACCAAGGTGACAACAGAACAGGCTGACTGGTTAACTAAAGGAAAAAAGATAGCCCAGAAACTCAGGATGTGGTGCAGATAAGACCAGATTAATGTAATGAGATGGCTAATTTAATGAGATGGTCAAAAATTAAGAATGACTTTATGGATGGTAAAACAAAGCACAGAGAAACAGCCCTACAGATATCCAATCTGTAGTATCAGTGTGGATAGTTGGTTTGATCAGCTGTTGGCAATGTCAACCACAGCCTACGAGGGCCAAGAGTGTTGCTGCCAACTGGTCCTACCTCCCCAGGCCTGGCACCATCTCGCTCCCCACACAATCACTCTGCTTGGGTCTGATAGCTTTGCATTCCCCTGGATGCAGCTACATGCTGCACAGGCCTGGGATCCAACAGCCCTTCTGGGCTCACAACTGCACCCCTTCTTCACAACAGGGTCCAATCCTACTGCTGTGGATTGGCTGAAGTGTTTTAATTTCTTGACCCCATAGTTTTACCCCTCTTCCAGAGGGGCCCTGGAGGAGGCCCATCCCTACCTGAGATGTTGATGGGGACAATGTTGGCCTGGGTGGAGCACGATTGATGCCATTTCTTCTCTTCCACGACAGGCAGGGGAAAGGGTTTAGCCCAGCCTGTTGGCCTGTCTGGGGTGGTGGGCAGGCTTAGGGAGGACTTGGGGGGCCTCACGCCTGCTGTAGCAGTCTCATCTTCATTCTCTTGCCGATTTGTGGGCTGTAGAAAAAATGGAAATGAAGCCAAGAAGACTGTGTCATGGTAGGAAGGTCCCATGTGCCAATGAGACACACAAAAGGGGGGAAGGTACTGGGGAAGGAGGAAGTGACTGTCAGCATGTGTGAGGGGAACAAGGGACTGGACATGACAGCTCAGGTCAGGACTCCACTCCCTTCCTTGATGCCCCACAATCCTAATCCAGGTCCCCCCTGCCCTGCTCTGCCCCTGCCCCTCACTCCTAACCTGTAGCCCCCCTGCCTACTGATCTGCAGCCACATCCCTGGATAATTCACAAGCAGTGCTGACCCTTCTTTCCCCTCACCATGGGCTCAGGAGGGCAGCTGAAGTGAACTGCCTTGGGGAGAGGGGACAATGCAAGCCCTGTTGAAAGAAGCTCTTCCCCTCCATCAGGATGGTTCCTCTGTCTCTTTGCAGTATTAGCCTTTCAGCTGCCTTACAGCAAGGTAGAGGCAGGACCAACAGCTGGCCTGCAGGAGCATTTCTGGGCTGGCAGCAAAAGTGACAGACCCACCCCCAACCTGGGGCAGCTGGGGAGACTCACCATGAACACAAACTCCAGGCGCTTGGCAGGTGGTGGTCTGGGGGACGGCTCAGGGGGTGTGTCTGAAGGTTGGTGGCTAGAACAACGGAAGGTCTGACCAGTGACTCTGGTATCTGTGTACTGCTCCTCATACTCTTCTGTAAGACAAAAAGCCAGGGTATTTCCATAGCTGGGGGAGTGGGGTGTGCAGAGTAGGACTTAGGACCAAGGCTTAGGACCCTGCCAGGGCAGGATCTAAGTCAGAGATAGCCTGGGGTCCACAGGGTCAGGGGCCATAGCCCAAGAGGAATGAAACCAGGGCAAGAGGCCCAGAATTTGAGTAGGGCTGGAGCTCATAAGCTTGGACTCGTTGCTGTGGGCCTAGGATAAAGGAACTCAGCTAAAGGAATGGGGCAGAAGCTGGGAAGGCTGAGACCCCGACAAGGCTTGGAGGCCTGAGTAGGCCAGGCCTTATATTGAGGCCAGGTGCCTCCTGAGAGTTATAACTGATAACATCTGTGAGGCATGGGTGTGACTATGGGGGTGGCTGGAGGTCAAAGTTATTGCCCTTAAGACTCAACTAGGATTGTCTTAAAGGAGAAGCCCACCCCACAGAATTTGAGGCAGAGAAGGTTGGAGGATTGTACCCTGACAAAAGACACCTAGGAAGAGGCTACCCAGTCTCTGGTGGCAGCCTCCCTAAGTAAAAACCCTAAAGATCAAGTCGTGGCCAAGTGAGAGATAGGAAGCAGAAAAAGGAAACCAGGGAGCATAAGCAGGTTGGTCTGACTGCCAGGTGTATTGGACACAAAGCGGATTGCCTTGAGCCTGCTACAGAGGCCCATAACCCAGAAACTGTATGGTCAACACTTGCCAAGAGGCCTCTGCATTAGCTGCCTCCATTTCTGGAGGCCCAGTTTGAGAGTGCTGGGCCCTTTTCACACCTCCAGCTCTTAGCCATGGGAACCACAGGTGCTCAGCACCAATGTGAGTCAGGTCCTGGGGCTCTTGAGTTGGCACACTACTACTGAGGCAACCAAAGCTGGAGCCCCGGGTCAGTATGCTTCACAGACAAAAAAAATCCAGCAATGCCATGAAGGATTCTGAGATGCCAGGAGGGGATGAACAAACCTGCATTCAGAAGAGATGTTGGCAGAAGCCTCACATCTGTGTGGGGAGGCTAGGAATGCCAGCACCCCAGACTCACCCACTAAGCTGTGACAGTTATAGATTCATAGATGTTAGGGGCAGAAGAGACCTCAGTAGGTCATCGAGTCCGACCCCCTGCCCTGGGCAGGAAAAAGCGCTGGGGTCAGATGATGTCATCTGACCCCAGCTTCCCTCTTTGCTAGCCCTCAGCCATAAGGCCCCGGGGCAAGCAGTCTCCCATTTCCAGAAAGCTGGTGCAAAGCTAAGACCTTCCCACTCCAGCAGCTCAGCGGGAGGATTGCTTCACACTACCCCGCAGTCTTATCCCCGGGCCCAGTGTGGCTAGGCAGACGGTGCCCGTGGTCACGCTGTGTCCCTGCCGGGCAAGCGAACAGGCTGGGGCTGAGCCCACAGAAGGGTGTCAGGGAGGACTATCTACTGTTTGACACACAACACCAGATAGCTTAGGCACCTTCAGTTCCTTACACAGAGAGCCCTTCCACAGTTCAGCTCATGGAGACATCTATGTTTGTAAACATTATCATTGAAAACAGGCAGAAATCAGGTGAAAATGATGCCTGACTTCCTGGTGACCTGTAATTCAGAGGTCAAGGTTCTGTGTGATCTATGGTCAGAGCTAACGGCCTTGCACCCAATACTGCTGTTAGGTCCTATATCAACCTATATCACTCTCACATTCCATATGGATCTTACTAGTATCATCTGATTATCTTTGTGCCTTGTACCTTCTTTTCCCTAAGAATCACCCTACCTAACAGACAGTGTTGCTGCCCCTTCTTGCAGTCCACCATCCATAGTCAGAAAGCCTCTACCACATGGGCAGAATGGTACTGGCCACAAATAAGCATGGTAAAATTAGGGGATCCCATGTAGAGAGCAACCCGTAGCAGGTGTGGCTGGTGAACTCAGACTGGTGGGGCAGTGGAGTGTCCCATGGGAGGGGTGGGTTTTGCAGCCAGGCAGGAGGTGGGGTGGGGTTTGCAGCCAGCTGGGCACTCTGGCTGGTAGTGGGGAGGCTGCAACCCCC